ATAGATCCCAGTGTAATTATTACCTATCTCTCTTATGGTTGTATCTGTATGACTTGTGTAAGTGTATGGGCTAGTGTTGGTTGTAAGACCAGTACATAGATCCCAGTGTAATTATTACCTATCTCTCTTATGGTTGTATCTGTATGACTTGTGTAAGTGTATGGGCTATTGTTGGTTGTAAGACCAGTACATAGATCCCAGTGTAATTATTACTTATCTCTCTTATGGTTGGAAGGATCATTATTAAACATTAACGTAAATATGACTATGGACACTTGTCTATAGTGTGTATTGACACTCATTGTGAACAGTTGTAAAGTTTATTCCATACCTCTACAAAGCACTTTACTAGAATCCGTTTCAAATTCAGGAAGGAAACACCTGGTATGTAGAATCTGACATGCTAATATATTATTGTGTATTTAAGTAGCTCAGAGGTTTAAACATGTGACAAAGCAAAAAAATATTATAATTGAATTTGGTGGTAGATACTAATCAGTAACAGATAATATGACAGTTTGTAGGTCAGGTATATAAGCCATAGATATTATTAGTACTGGCTGTGTGTGTGTGTGATCTCCGCTACAACACTTAGGTGTATTACCGTAAGGAATGTATAGGAGTGCATGATCAATGCATTTCCACAAAAACAATTTTGCAGATTTTATAATGTTAAAATGGCCTGAAGTATGATTTTAAAAAGTTGTAACAGTTTTAATTCCTGTGGATATGTCCTGTGATTTGATGACATAAATATCAAACATATCCTTACTGATCTTTAAAAATAAAATCAGAATTGTAATGTATACATCGTACAATCCATTTGAAATATTTTGAAACTTTTCAGGTTGATTTATATAGATTGTATACAGGTTCATATAGCACAACCAGTTATGTTTTTATGTAAGACGTTTCCATGACCACTGCAATATATACTCTCTTGTATTTATCAGACAAATGACCAGTGAGGCACAAATTTTAAGGTGTAAAATATGTTCGAGATGGCAGTAAGATCAACTGATTGTCACTGATTTGAATTAGCCACTTATAATACTGTACTGACCAGTACTATAATAGCGTATTGTACCCAGTAATACTGTGACAATGTTAACCTTGACTGGGTCACATTCCATGATGTACCACATGGAGGAGGTGAGAGAAGACGAGGACCAGCAGGCCCCTGAGCAGGACGTGGCCCAACCCACCACCAACATGCCGTCCTGGGCCACCAAGGAACTTCCACTGATGGCCATGGCCGAGTGTCAGGTAGGTACAACTTGTTAATACCTATGGTGATATCCATGTGTGGCTAAACCTCGTTAATGCTGGACTCCTATAACTACCTCATACTCCTATACAAGGGATACATGTATATTGATATGTAGGGTAAATGTAAATCTCAGTATTTCAGGAATACTAAAACAACTTAATTGTAAACATATTAATGGTCAAAACAAGTAAGGAAAGTGTCTCTGGTCAAATTTTAATTAATTTGCTTGGTAATTAGTTATGTATAGGAGGTTGAAGCAGTGATGTGTTATTTTCGCTTTGAGCAGAAAAATGTAATGCACACATTGGGAACTTCCTAGTACTATATCATACATATTAGTATAACGTAATTCTAGCAGAACTGTTTACATTGGCAGTTTCTGTCTTTGTGAAAATAAAACCACAGGAATATACATAGATATAGGTTTTATGTTAGTCAGCAAGGCAATATGAATCCACACAGGTAATATGAGCAAATCTTATCTGCAGGGACCTGCATTATAGTCTAATGACTAATATCATATCTTAATGATACCAGCACATAGGAGACCTTAAATAACAAATTACCTTAATTTTATTTTGCAGACATGTATAGGAAAGAATCTTACAGAAAATTCTATATGCAGATCTTTAATTTGATATATAAAATTAAATCGAGTGGATGTAAAATTATCTTCAGGTTGCTGCAATTCGAAAAAAATCTTTTGGAAGGCCAGATAAGAGTTATTTTATTTTATAAATGTCATGCCAAGATTGTTTGCAGTATATCATTATCATGTTTTCCTTATTGTATTAAGATGAAAAGATTTGTTTTAGAATGTAAAAATTTCATTACAGCATTTACCTTGCTTTTTTGGTGGAAAATCTTAAACAAACACATTGAGCAATAGACTCTTACAATTTAAACCTACAGCACTAAAATAATTGTCTGAGAATTGATCTGTCTTTCTCAAATCCTTAAGAAGTAAAGATTGGATTTGAAACTTTTTATTTTACAAGCCTACGATCTATCACTATAAAGGCTACATGATCCATCTACCTGTACCACTGGTAGGTCCTGTTCTCACACTACCCTACACAGGTAACCTGTTGTCGTGACCCTCTCGTCAACCTCACTCAATTTATCAGTTCTTCTCACTTATGTTTTACAACTAATGAATTCAAAGTTTTCTACTTCACATTTTCCTTTTGAAAGTGTATATTTATTCAATATAATGTGTATTTCCTTTGTGTGCCGCTAGGTTGATTTGTTTAACAGTTTTAGTATGTGAAAGTTCTGTGTTTGTGGTGCTACAGTCATGTATTTCATTTGCATTCTACTGTTGAAAAACATATCATTTATTGCTGATATTTAGACATGTATTTTGGGGATTTTGCATATTAAAAAAAATTCTAAGAATATTATACCTGCATGTTTTGTGTTGAAAATATAACAGATGACCAGATAATGTGGTATAAGGGACCAGATATATACAAGCTATTAACAGGACCAATGGTTTATCAGGGTCTAACCATTGTAAATCTGACGACCAGACAGCCCTGGTGTTGTCCCTCTGAGATAATCGCCCACTAATGAATAGACATGTTGCAAGTCTCTACTGGATGCCACTCAGAACTTTGCACTAAGAAGCATTGCCAGATATTAATACCTTATTAGTGTTCCTTCATTGTCCAGCACTGTGTATTTCCTGCTAGGTGGTCCTTGCCCTTGTCTAAACAGACCTGGGTGTCCTCAACTTTCCCTTTCTATACACTAATCATTGGAGAAATGTATTTGAAAGTTTGCCAGCCGTTGTTATATGATTGATGCCTGTAGCAGAGAGTGAATAAAATTGTAGATAAAGCAGATTAGTGGGCCCTCATCCAATAGACCACTGTGCTGGCGTCGAGCTACTGCTCTTTGTGAAGAAAAAAATCACTGCTCTAAGTGGAGCTTGTCATCGTAAAACTCAAATTCAGATAGGCAGACACAGTAACCCTGCAGATAGTCTTTTATCACCTTCAGCTTTAGAAAATATTTGGTCGTTTAATGGATTTTCAATGTGCTCAGTAATAGCAAACATATGATGTTTAAAGTTTTAAAGGAATTTTGAAGAAATCTTGTAGATTTATATGTATATTTAAAGTGACAAAAAAATAAAAACTACTGTTATAAAAACTATGGACCAACACCTCTCATAAAATTAAATAGCTGTTTCATTGATTACAGAAAGTGCTCCAGATTAAAAGTACAAAATAAAATTAAAAGTACAAAATAGAATGCGTTGATTTGTTTAATGTGTGGTCCTTATTGTAATTTTGTCTGTGTGCAGGGGTGCATTGCTGAGCAACGGATCTCCCACACTTGTACGGTTCAGAGTGACCAATCAGATGTGATGAACTTCAGCCCCAATCACTGTGTGGTTCGTCCCGACCAATCAGACGCTATGCATTATACCCATCATCAGCACGTGGTGCACAACAACCAATCAGAAGCCATGCATTACAACCCTCAAAATCATGTGATATATACAGAACAAACGGAAGCCATTAATTATATTCCTCATCCTCATATGATTAATACTGACCAACCCCATTACAATCCTCAACATGTGATGCACATGGACCAATCACATTACAGTGGTCATCAGCAGCAGATGTATCCTGACAATTCTCACTATGATAATGTGGAGAGTTACACTAACGAGGAGTACAAACCACAGAACTCATCCAAACAGTCCGACAAGGACCTCGGATGTAACACGTGGCCGCGCAAAAGGATGCGGAATGTGAGAAACATCGCTAGTTTCTTCACGGAGGAGTTAACCAATGGCACAAGCCAGGATGACCACTCACACAGAATACTACGAGGGGAGAGCACTCAGAGAGAAAATCTGCCACCCGGTAAGAAAAACTTGACACAGTTAAAATCCTCTTCAGATCAAAATCTATTGACTAGCAGTTAAGGTACAGAACTTGATTACACAATCTCTTGGGTATCTAATGCAGACAAATCTCCTAAATCTTAGCTTTTAGACGGGAACAAGAAGCTTTCATTGGCGTAGAGTGTCTAATGGAACTTTGGTATATAAGGAAACTTTATGTCAGAATTAACAGATACATGTTGATGTGGTTCCCATTTAGAAAAAGTTGCCCCTCCACTAATCCAACTTCACCTTGAAAAATGTAGAATTTAGAAGATGGTAGACCCACTCCAGAATTTAAATTAATGTTTATTAAGGATAAGGATGGTCTAAGTATTGATTGTATATATAAGGTTATCCAGCTACATCCTACAATTTAGCTACGGTGTTTGATCTGATTGTTTTGTTTTGTATGTGAGTTTGACCATACTGGTCCTTGTTTTAAATGTGTTTGTTCACAGGATCTGCACCCATATATAATGTGAAAGCAATAGCTTGTTGTTCCAGGTTGTATCTGTTATACACAAACCACTTGTGCCCCAAAGCATAGAAAGACCAGAAATGTAAGGCAGTTAGGATTCCTAATATTGTGTTGTTTGCTGCTCATGAATCTAATAAACTGTCGTAGAACAACAGCTAATACCACCAGTAGACCATTATCAGACGTCTTGGCAGCCAGGCAGCCTCCATTTCTGGTTAGGATGCCAACACATGTAACACCCTTGTTCCCTGGCTGCTGTCCAGAGTGATGTAACATATGTTTTTCCTTCACACAGCCCATCTTTAAGGTGAAAATCAAATTCCTGGGGCAATTTTAGAGCAATTATTAAGTATCTTTTGATTTGAGGTTGATAGCTTGGGAAAAGGGTTACATAAAATCAATGTTAGGCTAGAGATGTGCTGTGTTGTCATTGTTTCAAATTTGTGATTGAGAAGGTTGAGAAGTAAATGAATAAGTGGGAATGCATCCAAGTTTCTGGAAGTGTTCTCACACTCTGGTGATTTCCAGCAAACTGTAGCAAACAATATAATATGTAGGAACTCCTGAAGTGTCACAAAGCTCTGAAGCTCAGAGTCTGAAGCTCAGAGTCTGTCACAGGGACATATACACCACCCATTTGTCTGAGACAGAGTGGTTGATTCTTCTGCTCAGTTTGCTAGGTTTGGAATGTGGAAAGGGTAGGGCAGTTTTATCTATATCGAGCAATTGATTACTCGGTGGTGAAAATCTGGATATAGAAATGCATAGTTGCATTCCAAAGGAAAATGGCACCATGACCTATCTATGGTATTACTGCATGTTAATAGGGAAATCCATGACATTCTATGGGAATGGGTGGGGATGCTATCTATGGTCTGCATGTTAATGGGGAAATCCATGACATTCTATGGGAATGGGTGGGGATGTGATGCTGCTGTCTACCAATCTACATAAATGAGTACCCCATATTTCTGTTACAATTGTTTGTATTATATTTGCTATTCATGAACTATTGTTCTGGTTTCTACACACTACCGTGTGTTTGTGTGTGTATGTATGGACTGTGTATTGTGTATAATTAGTGTTGTCTGATCACCCACTAATAAGCCCGATGGTATAGGACTGTCTGATGCTGTGAGTGCCCCTGGAATGTCTCAGGAATTAGTGGTGTGGTAACAGTGACACAAGTGTAAGGTTGGCAGCCAGCCATCCTGGTACAGATGGGGTGCACAGTCCTGCGTGTACCCTGCTGGAAACTCTGATAGGCAGTCTACTGACTCTATTGACAACCATTGTGTTCAACAAGTCACACCATTTACTGCCACAAACACCTTTATCTACCTTTACAAATACTGGGATTTATGTCTGAGGGTTACACAAAAGTGTGTGATAAAATCGTCAGAAAACTGTAAATGAATAAGTTTGTTGGACTGGGTATTACTGTTACCTACCCTGTACCAGTGTATGTACAGGTCAGGCGTGGGACCCTAGTCAGGTGGAATTGAAATGTTCTGGATGTTTTTGTAATTCTACAAGGTAAGATCAAGAGGCAAGGACCTGTCTTGGTACAATATCAATTTATTGCTGTATGTTGGACATCTGAAAGAAAGGGTGTATTGTGTATTGTACTTGTCTCAGTTACTGTAGTGGCGTTTATGTAATTTGATAAAGTCTTACGATATACTGGTTCAGAGCACTTCAAACTTCCTATTATACTTGAAGATGTGGGGAAAATGTAAAAATCCCATTTCAATAAAAACAAATCCAACATCTAACTGACTTGGATATAGTCAGTTCAGGCTAATTCTGTGTCAATATAACAGTGTATGCTGTTGCATTTATTACTGTTAGTTTTTTGGGATATGTTTATTCTCTTATATCTTAATGACTATAAAGTACATACGTATCAACCTTATCTGTCCTTTGGACCAAACAGTCAATGGTTAACTTCTGCTCTCAACCATGAACTTCTCTGAGTAAACTGTTACATATAATAACATCTCATTATTTGATTATGCAATACTTTGATTACGGCAGAAAATGAATTTAAATTTTCTTCCAAAAAATCATGTGAATTCTGTATATTTCCAGGTAATTAACCTTGAAAATCTCAACATATAAAGTGTAAGAATTGATTTGGGCTGACTATTCACACATTAATTGTTTGTCTGCAAAAAATTATCTCTTTAAAGTGTTAGAGAAAAAAAGTTTGAATAATAAATTTTCAACATTATGATGGATGTAAATGCAATGAAGTTAAATTGAATATAAAAAAATGTTTACCAAGAGGACGGCATTACTTAGAAAAACTTTCTGTTGTGTCGGGTGGAAAAATAATTTATATGGTTATGTATGGATAAGCTGGATGCATACTGGGTAATTAGAAAGGGGTAGTGGATTATGAGGCTAGTGACTGTATGTCGCCAATTGACTGGCACTTGAAGCAACCAAACACAAGCTTAAAGGGCTTTAGAGAGGTCAAGACCCAGGGTAGGTTGTCAGAACTGAAGGATTATAATGTGAAGGACGTTCTACCTAGAGAGATATTTACTTTACTGCTATACAAGGCAGGGCTGTAATGGGACATAATGTACATGTTGTGTTAATACAAGACTCGCACTAATTGGGCTGTACACTATCATATATGTTTTGGAAATGAATGGTAGCAGAACTCAAGGTTCCATGGATTGCCAGTGGTCAGGCTTTTCAGTTGGTTTGAGCATCTGTCTAGAGTTTGAACGTCCCAGGATTGAAACCATATCTGACCATTGCATTTTCCACATGTTACATTTGATACCCAACTAAAAATAAACACAGAAGGTTATATATAAGGTTCTTGTGCAACTTCTGAGTAAACATTTTGTTGATAGAGAAAAGATTGAAGCCAATCTGGACTGGGACAGTCGCCGGTGACCAGTCCAGATAGTTTAACTTGTTAGTGCATCTTGAAGGTCCCAGGCTCAAATAAAATGTATCTTTCTTATCACTTAATTTTGAACTTGATTTCATGTATTACATCTTACACCTGTCCCATTGTACCACAAATCTTTATTGAGTATTTCCTATTAACATTGGAATACTATCTTTACTTGCTGTTTCTACTTTAGACTACCACAAGAGTTTGCACTTTACGATCGTGCATTAGCTGTTTGTTCGACACAATGAATTTACTTATTACGTTTTACCAGTGACATACCCATAAACCATGAAAGCCTGAACGGTGAATTATGCATGTGTCGGTGAAAGATTGCCTTTGCATGGTGATTCTGACATGAGACTGTTTCCTGGTGGAGATTGAATGTTTCCTGAACTTGCAAGGATCATAATTTGAACCATGAGATAATAGAAACAGTCTTGTAATCTTCCAAAAAAGTATGTTATTTGTTTTCTTTGCTATCATCATGCCAGGCATTTCTTTCTGTGTGAAAGTTGCTGTAGTGTCACCAACACATGTACAACTTATAACCAGCTTTTTCAGTGAGTTTAGACAGATTACAATTAAAGAAGACTTACTTGAGTATAGCCTCGATTACCCACTTAACAAAGGCCTGATCAGGTTTCTGTCCATGGTGTGTCCAGCATCTATGTGTAGGAAACCATTTCAATAAAGAATTCTTAAATCAGTTAAGGACAGAAGTTCTACCACTGAAGTGCAAAACATTTTTTAGCTATAAAGTGGAACAGTGTTTTTTCCCTTAATGTCAAATGTTTTACAATTAAGCACAAAACAAAACAGTTTTATTCATGTAAAAAGGCCAACCAATTCCCTTAAGTGCAAAAGATGTGGCAAGTCACTAATTGCAAAAAAATGTTTTGTTATTATGTGGCAAATACATCGGTTTCTTTTAATGTCAAATCTTCTGCACTTCAGTGCAAAACCTTTTACCTTTAAGTACCTTGTGAAACGAATACCAAAATGGCTTGCTGACTCAGCTGCAATTTACATGAAAATGATTAGAAATTTCCCTTGACAATATCAGAAAAGTGAGGACAATTAGCCAAGAAAAGGTCTGTGTGTGTATATAAGCTTGTAAATAGTCAATATTTCCATCAGCATGAAAAACAAATAATACACCAATGTGGCACGGTCTAAGACACAAGGCACCAGTTGTAAATGTTTTTCCAATATCAGTCAGACTAAAGATGGCAGTTCACAGTATTAGTCACACAGATTCTCTACCGAATTCAGTGTAATTGGTATGCAGCATCAGGGAGCTTTCATTGTTACATTGGTATTGAGCTAGGGAGCAGTTATTACTTGTGTTTGGAATAGATGACTTCCTGTCCATCACTATACATGACATCATTTATTGATTATTCTGAGTGGCTGTTTACTGTGAAAACCTCCCTCTAGGGCTTCCTGGTTTTTTCACTCAGCATCTGACAGACAAACAGTACTAAGTACATCAGGACATATTCCTCCCTTTGTGCCAACTTAACTTATTAGTGACCACCAGACCCTATTGCTGGAACCTGTGAGATTTGTGCATCCAGGTTGA